ATATGATATCTTGGAGTGGATCCTGAAAAAAAAAAAAAAGAACATTAATGGAAAAGCCGGTGAAATCTGAATGAAGTCTGTACTTTAGTAATTTACCAATGTTAAGGTCTTAATTTTGACATGTCTCATGGCTACATGAATTGTTAACATTAGGGGAAACTAAGTGGAGGGTATAATCTTTGCAGAGATTTTACAAATCTGAAATCATGCCAAATAAAAAGTATTAAACATGAATCCAAATTCTGAACTTTTATTTCCACAACATACTGGATAAGCAAGGGTCAGTCTGTGATTCCAATATCAGTAGTCAGACTGTATATCTTAGGGCAAAGGTAGCCAAAGGAAGTAGTCTTTTCAAATTTCTGACCCTCCCCCAACTCCTGTCAATGTTCAAGCCTCATTCCCCAAGCATGGCCCACCCCCTGGCCTTCTTCCCTGTACTGCTGCTCTTGTGGTCCCATGCTATTAACATACTAGGTTAGTCTTTGCTAGTTTTTTCTCTAACCTCAGATCTTTGCATAGCCTACTTTTTCTTCACATAAGTACCTCTCATCCTGAATAGCATGCTGCCCTGCACCCCTACCCATCTCTCTCTGTTATATTACATCATCTTGTTTTAATGTCTCCCCAGCATTTAGCTCAGTGTAAAATTATCCTATTCAACCATCTGTTGACCTTATTTATATATCTCTACCCCTGTCTAGGCAGTAAGCTCCCTGGAAACAAGGACCTTGCCTGTCTTGTTCACCACTGATCCCCAGGGCCCAAAACAGTACCTGGCACAGAATAGATATTCTTTGAAAGTAATAAATGAATACACTCCTTGAGAGAAAGTTTTATGTTATGTACTTCTGGACCCCCTCCAGTTCCTAGAACCACTGCAATAATAATGGCTCAGAGAATTGAGTGATGCTTCCTAAAATGATGTCTCATTCTCACATCCATGAGTTCATTGAAGAAGACATTTCTTAAGTACCTGCCATCTGCCTGGTACAATGCAGAAATACAGAGAACCAGAGTCTGGTCCTGGAAAGTCAAGCCCCCGGAAGGGAGCAACACCCAACTTAGTTAAGTAATACAGCACTTTTAAAAGTTCCTACACACTATAGAGTGGTTAACATTGTAGAAACTAGTGTTTAAAAGTTCCCAGAAAATTACTTCAAGAGTCCTAAGGCAGTAATTAGAGAGAGTGAGTCAGTTATTTATTCTTCAGATTCTAAGGGGTTTATGAAATAGACAGATGTCTTTTCCCAGTGACATGAGACTTTTTTATTTTGAATGAAAAGAAACCATTCACGAATCTGCTTTTTATTTTATAAGCACTTGTCTAAGGTTTAAGGATGTCAAATGAAATTGAAATAATGGTATGAGTGAAGCATGGCCAATATTAAGTGTAAATATTTCTAGTAAGAAGGTGAAAGGTAGCATATCTACCCTCCTCTATGCCTGCCACTTTCCCAGTGCCTGCTGCACAGTGGATATTGAATGAAAGACTCCATCCCCAACCCTATGCATTCCCAGAGAAGGTATTGTCCTGTCATGTGCTTCCCTTATTACTGCATAGTTTACCATGAGAGTGAGTTGTGTTGATCTTATCTGTCATTCTATTCCCAGCACTTAGCATACACCTATCACAAACCCCTAGCATAAATATGCTCAAAGAGTAATTGCTAAATGAGTGAATAATTGGCAAACGAATGTATTCTGGGGCAGGAGATGTCTGGGATGGAAAGTCCACACAAGAAATTATAAAGACTTAAACATATATTGAACAGATGTATTCAGTAAGATGGGCTCCAGCAGTAAGGGGCAATGAGATTTTCAGAGCAACGTTATTAATTTCCACCTCCCCAAACCTGACAAATATTTTCTGAATAATACTCATTTGTTTACCAGACCTGGTCTTGGAAATTCACTCTGTTAAAATAACTCCCATTTGCCTCAATTTTGAGAGCTGATCCAAAGTTATCATCTCCCATTCCTCTCCTAAAAATCCAGAAAAAATTACATTAGTAGCCTTATATACGACTCTTAAAAGGCCATTGATCCCTAAAATAATTCTTTTTCATATGCTTTAAAGGACTAGCTTCCTTGATCCAAACCTCTTGACTACACACAAACTGTGGGTTTCATGGTCTTATAGAAATGAATCTGCCAAACCTTGCAATTAGCAGGAAAAGGTCACACCCTAGAGAAAAGGTAGTACCTTCCATTACTACTACCTACGCATTCTCAGATTCACAAACTTAAGTTACAGCAGAAAGGAAATAGTAATTTTTTTGTGTGGTAAACAGGTAATACTTTAATGGGAAGAGTAACATATATGAGCAACTAATGGAAATACAAACCAAAAGCTAAATAAGAAATGCTATTGAAATAGGTATCAATTATAAGTCACTCTAAATGCAAAGTTAAAACCGAAAGAAAACAAAGTACAGCACTTCCCAGGAATGCTGAATGAAAGGGAATAGTAATTTTGAGGACTTTCTATATGGAAACCATGCTAGTTGTTACACCTAAGAGTAATGGATGTGAATTTCAAAGTCACAGACCTGATACTCAGGTGTGTAACCATGTGAATATATCTGTACATATATAGAGATAGAAGTAAGTATGTATTGTATGTTCTATGCTCTTTCATGTGATGGTCAGTCAGGTGTGGCCACAAAAGGAGACTCAGGAGAGGCTCATGAAAACAAGTATTACTATACTCACAGGTTCTAGAAAGAGAAGGCACATCATGCCATGCAAGGACACATAGGAAATATGTTGGCAAGGCCAACATCTGTTAGGAAGCAGAAGGAACAGAACCAAGAGAGAGCCAAGGCTACAGCCTTTATTGAAGTTCCACTGGGACAGGCAAGGCAGGGCAGGGTAAACTGTTTAAATTAGATTGGCTAATTTAATTTAGGTGGGCTCTAAACTATTGAAGTGATCCCTAGTTGCCTACTACCTGACCCTGGGATGAGTAAGGCAAAGTAATATTGCCTCCTGGGGTGCGCAGGTCAGATAGAGGAAGTATGGCTCTGGATTGGCATTGATTTGAAATCACAAGATTCCCAAACTTGCCCCAAACATGGAGAGCAAGGAGAGACCAAAGAAAGAGGCAAACCACTCCAGATGGTAGGTGGCGGTTTACTAAACAAGGGAAGTTACTTAGGAGGCTTGTCTTAGGTGGCGTAAAAGATCTATGCACTTGCCCATGGGAATCTTAAAAATTTATATAGTGGCGTTAATGGGGTTCAGTCACTTACACCACCCAGATGGTTTCAACAACATATTGCTCTCTCAAGTCTGCATCCTTGAAAACAATTCCTACTGTGGGACCAATGAGGAGAACATACATTCCAAGGGCAGCAAAAGGGGTGAGGAGCTTCCAATCGCCTTAATTCCCCAGTCCAGCTCCAGGGTTAACTGGTGTGGGTCAATGACTTCCTCCAACAAATGGTTAGTTTGCATATCAAAGGCATGTTCCTGGCTGAGTCAGAGGGCTGTGTGGGGACTGAAGGTGACAGTGCTTGCTTGGATGCTGTTTGCCTCCCCGCCCACAGGCAGAGAAAGCAAGGGGAGTGGGTGGACACCCCATCGGTGCCCTGGGGCTGGAAGAGGGAGGGCTGGATGGCCAGCCCCGTGTTCCCTATCTCTTAGAATTGATTAGTCCCTGGAGGGAAAATGTCTCCTCATCCAGAAAAGGTCTTTTTAGATGTCAAAATACAATAATATTCAAAAAAAATTAAAAATATATACAGTATAATGTGTATACAGTTACACATATATATTTAAACTGATATATATGTGTGTATGTATGTGTATCTATGTTCGTGCCTGTGTGGGAGCAAGCACCAGTTTAAATTTGACTCATCATTTTGCCTGCCTAATCCTTAACAATCTAGGCACATTGCAATTTGCTTGTTTGTCTTGGTTGTTCAGCCCAATTCAATGTGATTTCTCAGTCAATTCATTCATATTTGTTTAAACTCCCTCCCAAGTTTCTTCCTCTACCTTCTCCCCTATGATCATATATAATCCTCACCAGTAATCTCTCTGACACTCAAGTAAACAAATTAATCCAGGCTTCATTGACCCTTCCCGTTATTGTTCAGCCCAAATTGGTTACTACCAAGAGGAATTGGGGCAAATTTTTAAAGAAAAATATCTATTTTTATATGAATTATCCCAATTTTTTTTAATGTCGGTAACCTTTTTTCAAATTAAATCTCTACACACTCCCTCCCCCACAAAGAGGGAGAGAGAAGACAAGACAAGAAAAAAGAAAAGGGAAAGGAAAGTAAAGGAAAGGAAAGAAAAGAAAACGAAAGGAAAAGGAAATAAGTAAAATAAGAGGCCTACTAGCTAGCCAAAGTGTAATTTCTGTCCTGGACTCCTAGAGGGTCCATGGGTGCTTGGGATTTATAAACCTGTTTTTGAAACGGTAGCCAACTCACTAATACTACAATGAAATCAAGTTAAAGGCATAGCAATGTGAAGTTTTAATGGCTAAGAATAGTATAACTTATGACGGAATGAATGGAATGGAAGGAAAAATATCAGGGTGAAACACAAGAGTAAGGGTGTTGCTTTGAGAAACGTCATATTTGTATGTTCCTGGGAACCAAGTGACATGGAAAGTATGTCTCACTGAGAGTGGACAAACAAGTTTGGAAACACGTAAATAAAATTTGGGTTTTGGTCAATTTCCCAAGTTATCTAGGATCCAAAAAGGGCAAAAACATAAAACTGGAGACTCCCTAAGGCCTTCCATTGGGATTTGTTTCTCCAGTCTCCTCTGGCGTTAGCTCAAATTCTACCAGGACTCTCAATCGCCCACAGGTGCTGCCAAGTCCGGCAGAGTGTGAACCCAGCGCAAGCTCGGGCCTCCACGCCCCCAGGGGACGCTGCAAAAAATTCAGTCGCCAAGGGTAGCACGGCGCACGCGCCCGGAAGCATTTCCACCCGGGACGCGTTTTCACTCCACAGGCCGCGAGGGTTTCCTGCGACGTACTTCCGGTTAGCCGAGCCGCTCATGTGCAGCCCGAAGGGAAGTAACGTCACCCTGCGCAGTGGCGCCGGACTGAAGGAGCTTGTACAACATGTCTCATCTACCGATGAAACTCCTGCGGAAGAAGATCGAGAAGCGGAACCTCAAATTGCGGCAACGAAACCTAAAGCTACAGGGTGAGATGCGCTAAGCTTCGGGGAAGCCTGGGTTGCTGAGGAAGCCCACGCGTGAGCCGTGGCGCGCTGCGGAGATTGCGGGGCCGAGCGGCGCTGTTCAAGTGTCACCACGGCTCCGGTGTGGCGCGGGCAGCCTTCCTGAGAGCACGTGTGCTTGTCGAGTGAAAAGGAAGTCTGGGGCAGCCTCAGGTCGGGTCCCGCCGCCTCACATCTGCCCCTAGCCTTTCTGACCGCCAGTTTCTCCTACCGAGTTAGAGCAGCAGGTTTCTTGAGTTCCCTCCCAGGCCTCTAGGAGTTCGTCCGGCTAAAGCAGCCTTTTCCACCTCCACGCCTCCTTATTCTGACACCCTCACCACCCTCAGGTCCCATCTCATCACTGCCCCTCACCCATTTCTAGTCAGACGTGGAGAACTTTTATCTCCATGCAGTTTGCATTTGCGTCATATGTTTAATGTATGCTTTCTTCAAGAGAAGCTCATTGTCACTGTTTTCACAAAGCTTTCCTGATACCTTTGCCTTCCCCTTCTCCGCGTCTCTTCCCATCTCTCGTCCTCCCTCTCCCCCTCCCCTTCTTTCACATTTAAAGCTCTTAAAAGTGTCTTATGCACACGTCAAACACTAAGCCTCTCTGGTGCCCTATCTTCGCATCACTCTCAACTTTAGGTTATAAATTCCTTAATAGCTTTTACATATTTTCATCTTTGACAGAGACTTACATGAAAAGGATTTTACCTGAATGCCTGCCACCGTGCTTACCTACCTTATTTGCAGTCCTAACTTCTTAATGGTGAACCAGAGATCTTGAAGTTGTTAGGTTAACTTTTTTGGGTCCTGTATAATAACATGTAAACCCCCTGAAGGCAGTGTTAGAGGCCTGATGCCTTACCCCAGTTGTTTTTCAACAGAAATTAGTTGATGGAAAGAAATCCTGGAGGAGAGGGAAGGTTTGTGGGTTTTAGGAATAATATTTTTGAAGTTCCCTTATATTTCCAGTTCTTAGAGACTAACACAGCATTACTGACAACTTAGAGGTAGCAGTTAGAAGATGGTGTTATCTTTTTCTTTATATAAACATGGAAACTTTTGTAAAGACATTCTCAGGTATCTCATATATGGTTAGTATTGGGACAAAAAAGTGGTTTCATCAGCAGTTTTCAGTTCACTGCCATATAAGAAAGTTGGTGAATTTTTCCAAGTCGTATTTATATGAGAATCAGTAGTTGTATGAATAAGATGTAAGTTGTTTTTAATATATCAGTCATATATTTATCAAATACTTAATGTTAAAATGTATATTTTGTTACTACCATCATTTGGCCCAAGCTGTTTAAGTATTTGACTTCATGAAGTTTTCCTGTCCCAGACTCTTAACTCCTTAAGGACAGAGATATGGTTTTTGGAAGTTAAGAAATAAATGCAGCTTTCTATTTTTCAGCATTTTTCCTTAAAGGAAATTTACTTGTCTCGTAGTGGAACAGCATAAAATTGCAAGTGATTTTAATAGTGTTCTGCAGGTCCTCGAATAACGTCTTTTGTTCAATGTCATTTTGTTATAACGTTAATGAGATGCCATAGGAACTTAACTCTTGTTTATATCAATTAGCGTATGGTAAAATTGGCGTTATATGCCCTTTCACTGCAATTCTAAGAACCTATCAACGATAATTAAGTGAGGACTTCCTGTATATGAAAGGGAAGTACAAGCTAAATCATTCAGTTCTGGAAACCATGGAATTTCTCATTTGGAATTTCAATGTCTCTGAGTAAACCTCCCCGTCTTGTGACAATGTGTTCTGTTTTTATACAGGGGCCTCAGATGTGAGCCTGTCAGAAACTCAAAATGGAGATGTGTCTGAAGAAACAGTGGGAGGTGGAAAAGTTAAAAAATCCTTAAAGCAGTCTATGAATAAGGGCGTGTCAGAAGTCCAAAATGGGGATATATCTAAAGAAACAGTGGAAAATATAAAGATTCAAAAATCCAAGAAGTCTACCATATTAACCAACGGGGAAGCAGCAACACAGCCTCGCAATTCAGAATCGAAGAAGAAAAAGAAGAAAAAGAGAAAAATAGTAGATGATGCTGGGCCTGGTAAGTACTTCATTTTCTTTGAATTTAAGCCATTCTGTTTTTCACAGTTGTCATTCTACCTTTCCTCTATTATTATTGTGTCTGTGTTACATGCAAGAATCCCCAGTACTCACTAGTATACCAGAAACTAACCTGGGAGCTAAAGGAAAAGGGGTCAAGGGGGATTTTAATTTTTCTCAAAATATCGAGCAATGTGTCATGCTTTTACATTCCCTAACAACCTTTAATAAAATCTCACACTTAAATAAGGATCTCCTTAAAAGTCTAGAAATTTTTTTTTGAGCTTTTTATGATAAACAGAACATACTGTGGCATAATATTTTAGGTTTACCCAATTGCAAACAGAATTGTGGAATTACTGACACTAAAGAAATCTGGGCTACTTTCTCAGGCCTTTGTAGTCTATCTCTAATAACATAAAGAGCCTTTGGTATTTCTGTTCATCTTTAAAACAAAATAAACTTTTATAGGAAACTTATGTTTAATGGCATGGGGGAAAATCAGTGCTTATTAGGAGTTTTTTAAGAAACATTAATAATAAGGCTTTTTTTCTCTGAAGTATATAGAACTTGGTGTAATTAGAATACTTAAATTGTTCATCTTTTTAAAAAATGTCTTGGTCACTTAAGATGATATAATACCTTAAGAATCCTTAAAAAAAAAAAAAAAGGTTTTTTGGCAAATTTATATGTCCCCCTGAGTTTTTTAAATATAACCAAATCTTTAGTAACGAATGAGACATTCTTAGGAAATTAAAACTGGAAATGTGTTAAACTTTTGAAAATATGCCTCTTTAACACACATCTTTTATTTCGTGATCTCATTTAGTATTTTTATTTAAAGAAAAAAAAATTGGGTCGGGGGTGTTGTTTTTTAAAACCAAAGATACCAAAAAAGCAAAAACTGAAGACAAAGAGAAATCTGAAGACAGTGTCCAGACTCCTGAAGAAACAGGAAACAGTGCGGAAAAGCCAGATGATGAAGAAGGGGACAGTGAGGTGCCCAGCCTGCCACTGGGACTGACAGGTAACTTCCAGAAAATTTCATACCTCTCTGGAGTATAAAATTTGAGGTTCCGTTGTGACATTTACCCTGAAAAAGTATCGACAAGAAATGTTTTCATATCTTAAATGCTGCCTTTTATCTTCCACGTTGTGTGCCTTAGTTTTTATTGTTTCTCTAGTTTTTATTCCTCTTCTTTATTCTTGACACTAAATATTTCGATAATGCACACAGCTTCTGGGGTCCTCTCTTCCTTTGGTTTGTCATTTTCTAAAGCTTATTCCCTATTGTAGTAGGAAAATCTTTGGCCTAGAATTCTGGAGTCTAGAGGTTTAATACTGGCTCAGTTACTAAGAAAGAAAGAAGGATGGAATTAACATTACTTTATCTGTAAAGTCAGGAGTTTAGATTAGAATTAGTTGCTCCTAACAATGAATATCAAGGAGTTGCTTGAGTTGTTTGGTTTGTGGTTTTTGCTTGTTAAAATATCGAGGCTCAAACCCAGACCTGCTTAATCAGAATTGCAGGGGTTATGGCACTGGCTTAAAACTAGGGTAATTTTTCCCCCAAGTAGGGTGACAAACTCATCCTGGTTTGCCCAAAACTTAACTAGTTTTAGCATTGAAAGTCCAGCATCCCATAAATCTCCTCTATCTCAAGCCAGTTATATGAGGGTTAGCTGCCAGTATTTTTGTTGTCAGAATTGGGGGGCAGACTACTGGCATCTAGCGGATAGAGATCAGGGATACTGCAGAACATCCTATAGTGTATAGGACCACCTCACAACAAAAAATTGTCCAGTCCAAAATGGCAGTAGTGCCAAGTTTGACAGTACTTGGGGGTATAGCCAGGACGTGTTGGAGTGGGTGGTTTTGATGCCTTCCCCTGCATACTTGATAAGTAGGTTTAGTCTGTGGCTATTTCTGACTCTTGGTTGTCTTTTTAAAGTAAAAGTAACTAGTTTTTTTGATTGACTTCATAGTCAGTTTTTATTATACTGAATGTTTTCACTTTTTATTTGGATTTCTTAAACATTTCATTTCCCTCTGAACTCCTCCTGTCCCCAGTGTCTGAACTGCTGTTCCCATCCCAGCTTGGATATTTTCATTTCATACTCATCCCTTGATTGTACCTCTTGTCCATCCCTTATTAATTTGTTAACAGTATAGGCTCTGGACTCGAAATTACATAGCCATCAGTACTGGAGAAACTTTATAAGTATAGGGTCTTTTTTTAATACTACATAGGAATGGTTGGGATTTAGTGTTAGTGGAAGAAGCTCTTCTAAGCATGACTCCAACCCAGTAATGCTGTCAATCAGCAAAACTAATTCAGACAACTATTGCTGAATTAGCTATTAAAAAAGAAATATTTGCTAATAATAAACTGTCTTTCATTTAGGAGCTTTTGAGGATACCTCATTTGCTTCTCTATCTAATCTTGTCAATGAGAACACTCTGAAGGCAATAAAAGAAATGGGCTTTACAAACATGACTGAAATTCAGCATAAAAGTATCAGACCACTTCTGGAAGGCAGGTATGATTACCATTGACTTTGGGACATTAGTAGCTCTTTTTAGTGCCAGTACTTTGGAAAGAGAATACCAGTATGTTCTGTTGAATTTGCTCTGTGTGTTAGGTTATACATCCAACCTGCATTAAAGGCTTTAAGTTATTTACTGATGTTTGAAGGAAAGTGTTCACTTCTGTTTTAAAGCACGATTCTTATTTCTTAAATTATTTAACTCACCTGATTGATTTCAGTGATAGAGAAGGTAGGAAATTTATTTTTCTTGATTCTGTCCTAGCCTTGGTTCCTAAACCGAGTGATTACATACGTACGAATTCAGTATTTATTGAATGAGTATACTAAATCTCTCTCTCCTTTCCATTTTTAATATTTAGGGATCTTCTAGCAGCTGCAAAAACAGGCAGTGGCAAAACCCTGGCATTTCTCATCCCTGCAGTTGAACTCATTGTTAAGTTAAAGTTTATGCCCAGGAATGGTAAGCCTTTGATCCAATTGTTTCTGCCAATGTCTGTTTATTGTATCTGTTACAGATGCATGGTGATAACTATAATTTGTCTTTTGCAATGTATCATTTTTTGCTTTTTAGGAACAGGAATTCTTATTCTCTCACCTACTAGGGAATTGGCCATGCAGACTTTCGGTGTTCTTAAAGAGCTAATGACACATCATGTTCATACATATGGGTTAGTAATGGGTGGCAGTAACAGATCTGCTGAAGCACAGAAACTTGCTAATGGGATCAATATCATTGTGGCTACACCAGGCCGTCTCCTGGACCATATGCAAGTAAGAGAACACTATTATTTAGTACCTGTCTCATAGTCTTGTGTGAAACAAACTTGACAGCCAACAATATTTTCGTCCTTTGTCTTGTTAGAATACTCCAGGGTTTATGTATAAAAACCTACAGTGTCTGGTTATTGATGAGGCTGATCGTATTTTGGATGTTGGATTTGAAGAGGAGTTAAAGCAAATTATTAAACTTCTGCCAAGTAAGTAGGTAGTATCTATATGTGGTTTGCAAAGTAGTTGTTGGAAGCAGGTGAGAGTTCGTCCTATATGAAAACTATTAATACCAGAATTTTAATATGACCAAGTAAAGCAGTTGTGCCAACCTTAGAGATAGTTTGCAATACAAACATCAAACTTACTAGTAACTTAATACAGTGCTTTTGCTATTTTAGAGGTTATTATGCATGTCTCACCTACCATTAGAGGCTATTGGGGCTGGAGTTTTCTTTACCTAAAAATTTAACTACAGTTTCTTCAGTAGATACAAGGCTATTCAGGTTTTCTGTTTCTTCTTGAGTGAACTTTAGCAGTTTTGTCTTTCAAGGAAATTGTCCATTTTGTCTAAATTATCACACGTATAGACAGAGTTGTTCATGATATTCCTTTAACATCTGTAGTCATAGCATCTTTCCCATTCCTGATAGTTTACTTAGGAGCATTTATAGTTGTGAAGCAAATTTAAAGAGTACTCGAAAGATTTGGGTTATTTTGTATTTACCTGTTTCAGCACGCAGACAGACCATGCTCTTTTCTGCCACACAAACTCGAAAAGTTGAAGACCTGGCAAGGATTTCTCTGAAAAAGGAGCCGTTGTATGTTGGTGTTGATGACGATAAAGCTAATGCAACAGTTGACGGTCTTGAACAGGTATTTTTTGTTGCTATCTTACATTGTAAGAATCTTCTTTGGTGTTTCCTTTTAATCGTTTGGAGGATCCTCCAGAAAGCAGATGGATTATTAAACTTTAATTCAAATATAGCAAATTTGGGTATTGGGTCTCTGGCTCTCTGGTATAAAGTATCTTGAACTCTGAAGTCTCTTAATACCACTTACCACATGGAGGCGTTAATAACCACTACCACTTATAGATGGCAGAAAAAAAAAATCGCTGTTTAATAATCTCTTGCTCTAAGACGAGAGTTGAGGTGGAAGATGGAGAGATTGGTTTCAGGCACGCAGCTGTGGAAAATTGGAAGTGAGGTGAGAAAGATCCAAACTAGGTTGATGAATAAAATACTTTCTGTAAGAAGTTAGTTTAAAAATCTTGCATTGGTTATTTAGTTTTTAAAAATATATTCACCCAGCTTTATTATGTTGTTTAGGACTGTGCACTTAAGCCGTGGTTATTTAAGATCTTGTTTGTAGAGACCTTTTAAAAAATCCTTGATGTCTTGAGGGTTCCAGTTAGTAGAGGTATTAATATATTGTGGTTTCAAGAACTGTTGATGACCTGTAATCTCAGAAATATGAAAAGAATTTAGCATCCAGTGACTACATTAATTACAGGCATCAAAAGAGCTTAAATTAGTCTTATTTTAGGAATGCTCTGTTATAATGAAGGCAGTAACTTTACTATAGGTAAGGCATGACAGTGTATGTGTGATGTTTATCTGTGCTCTTTATCAAATTATATTGACTCATGCAGCTGAAAATTTCCATTTGGTTATTTTCTATCTGTTCATTTAAACTACTTCTAGGGATATGTTGTTTGTCCTTCTGAAAAGAGATTCCTCCTGCTCTTTACGTTCCTTAAGAAGAACCGGAAGAAGAAACTAATGGTCTTCTTTTCATCCTGTAAGTCTGTGAAATACCACTACGAGTTGCTGAATTACATCGATTTGCCTGTCTTGGCCATTCATGTAAGTGATTATGAAAAGTTTATTAAAAACAAGTTGTGCTTATCAACTTATATAGATTGTGGGGTTTGAGGTGTTACTATCCTCTAAATGTAGTTCTTAGTAGGTCAGTCAACATTGGGTGATTGATCTTCTGTGGAGGGAGCTTTGCTAGGTGTGGAGGGGTGAGGACCACAAAGGAATAAGATACGTCCTCTAAATGTAGTTCTTAGTAGGTCAGTCAACAATGGGTGATTGATCTTCTGTGGAGGGGTGAGGACCACAAAGGAATAAGATATGCCATCAACTTGAGAAAATAGGACGTAAGCCAGGGAATGAACTTGAAATGAAGTACGTTCACAACTCCACAGTTTGGGGGCTCTACATCTAGACTTTACAAAAACAGCCTTAAGTTTTCAGCTCTAATGGATGTTTTTATTTGATTCTAGGGAAGGCAGAAGCAAAATAAGCGTACAACCACATTCTTCCAGTTCTGCAATGCTGATACGGGGATATTGTTGTGCACAGACGTGGCAGCTAGAGGGCTGGACATTCCTGAAGTTGACTGGATTGTTCAGTATGACCCTCCAGATGACCCCAAGGTACCAGGCATCCTTGGGTTTTCTTAGAATGGCTCTGCATTAAGGAGTGCACTTACTCTCCAGGTTCCCTGAGAAATACCACATTTCACTTTCAAAGGTTTATTCCTTAGTTATTCAAGTCATGTTTTATTGTACAGTGGCTTTATAGTATTTCTCTGGTGCTGATAGTATTCAGGGCTTTTACAAGACTGAAAGGAGGTATATAAGGAGATTTGAGAAGCATCAGTGGGACTTAGGAATGTTACATGCATGGAATTTGTTAAGAGCAGTAGGTATCAGGAGGAAATAAAATTTGCTTACAGAGATAGATAAGTCTCTAGAATATTAGTAAAATAAGTTTTGAGTATTTTCAACAAATAAGAGATTACATAAATTGTCAGCCAGCATTTAAACATGCTTCAAAAAGCCATTTCAGGATGAAATACACTGGTCATTTTATTAGATCACAGAATTAATGTGAATATCATGTCCAGCTTTCCTTCGGCCTCAATCATTGCCCTGTTACGTCTTTGGGGATGGTGCATGTAGAAGGGATGATGGTCTTGCTTCAGGGAACAGACCTTAGGAAGGGGCACCATCTCCTTCAGATACGCTAACAACGCTTCTGTCTGCTACCATGCAAGTCCGGTAATGCAGACTGCCGCAAGTGCCCATGGAAGCCCGTCTGTTAACTCAGGTTTTCTCTCCCCACCAAAGGAATATATTCATCGTGTGGGTAGAACAGCCAGAGGCCTAAACGGAAGAGGGCATGCCTTGCTCATTTTGCGCCCTGAAGAATTGGGTTTCCTTCGATACTTGAAGCAATCTAAGGTAAAGATCCTTGCTTGAAAGATCTTAAGTTGGGAAGCAGATACCTCTTGGTAGGAATTATTTGCCAGTGCAGATGGCTTTGAGCACTTTTTAGATGTGTCCAGGAAGTCATGGGTCATTGCAGTGCTGTTGAAACAGCTATAGTGGTTAACCAAGTGAGATTTTATGTGGGTTTGTCCCGGGAAATGTGAACGGAAAAAAATACTCATATGGCTCAATTCTTGAGCTCTTTGTTGCTCAGCAGTGCATCTCATGCCCCCAGTCTCTTCTTCCATTCCCTACAACCTGTTTGAAACCACCTCTACTCCTTTGAAGCTCCCTCACACATGATCGTCTCTACCTCCCTTTCTCCTTCCTGCAGTCTTCATTGCATCTCTTCATCCCGCTTTCTCTCTTACCCCACCCAAGGCAGTGGGGACCCCCATTCACTCTACCTTTTCTTCCTCCCCCAGTCCCTTCTTCGTCGATTCTGCGGTTTACCTTCAGTCTCTCCCTTGAAGTTAGCTCTTCACCATCTCAAATCTCACTAAAAAAAAGTAACTTCAACCCAAACCTATTCTCCTACCACCACCTCCAGTGTAGTTACTACCTGTTAACCTTTCTTAAGTCTGCCATTTTGAAAAGTGATTTATATTTTTTCCATTTATTTTCTACTCACCCTGTCCTCTAATCCACCCTAATTTGGCATTATTCCATCCCACCAAATCTGACTTCATTGGAATTATTAATGTTGTTATATCTTGGGAATAGTTATCAGGCCTTCTCTTCCCCAACATTTGCCTTTTTGTTGGCTTCCCTGGCAGCCTTGCCAGGTGGATTTTCCTCTACCTGGCAACTAGGTGTAGTTCTTATAAATTGCTCTATGGCCTTTGCACTTTTTCTCTAGAATGCCCTTTTCCTGGTTCTCTAGATTGCCTCTGGTTTCATCCAGCTCTTATCTCTTCTGGGAAGCCCTCACTGATCCCTTGCCATCCTGGTCCCACCGTGGGAGTGCTCATTGTGTTGTCATTTTATCACTTATCTGTCTCCCCTACAAGACTGCAAGTTCTCCGAGGGCAGGGGCATGGCTTGGGTAGCTGTTTATCACCCCAGTACCTAGCAAAGATCTGGCACTTTTCCAGTTATCTAATAAGTAATGGCTGATAAGAAATCTTACCTACACAGGAGTTCCTGGTCATCATCGTGACGTCTACCTCTGATGTCACAAACCCCAGTCGCAGGGCAATGTTGTGTTGGGGCAGCGCTCCTGATATGGAGTGAAGAGCTAGTGACCCTTCCAACTGGAAGCTACAGGCTGCTTCATCATTATAGAGATCCTTATTCGTAGAAAAGGGCTTCATGGACTTGTCCTGTCCAAGTCTTCACCTTTCCTTTTAGGAAAGTTCCACCGTACAATTTATGAACAATTCACAGGGGTAAGATAAGACTTTTCCACTGGCATTGGGAGACAAGATAGAGCAGATGTCTGTGCCAAGGGAATTCCACAGGTCTGGTTATCCCATCATTTCTTCCCTGCCTAATGAGCTGCCTTATTTCCTGGCTGTTGATAGGACACTCATCACTTATCACCTAAGCATCTGAATGTTAATCTATTCTAATGTTATCTTCATGCCTTTGTTTTTTAGGTTCCATTAAGTGAATTTGAGTTTTCCTGGTCCAAAATTTCTGACATTCAGTCTCAGGTATGGTTTTCTTTGGCGAGAGGCGGTTAGCCTCAGCGCCTCATCCCAGCATTACTTCCTTAGACTTCCATTAGCAGTCGTTGTACTCTGTGTCCCCCTTTTTATAAATGAGAAGTTTGGGTTGTGTGATCACTCAGGTTTCTCGCTGTACTGATTATAATTGTACCTCGTTTCAGGCCATACCAAGAACATTGTAATTATTCTTCCTGTGGTGTGATTCTGCAAATATTACAAAGCTCAGAAAAAGTGTATTGGGACAAATGTTTTTTGCAGGATAATTTTTGTTGAAATATACATGAAATCTGCTTTTTTGTTTTATTAAAACCATGTTTCTTTCCATTTCAGCTTGAAAAATTGATTGAAAAGAACTACTTTCTTCATAAGTCAGCTCAGGAAGCATATAAGTCATACATTCGAGCATATGATTCCCATTCTCTGAAACAGATCTTTGATGTTAATAACTTAAATTTGCCTCAGGTGGCTCTGTCATTTGGTTTCAAGGTGCCTCCTTTTGTTGATCTGAGTATCCTTTTCCTCGTGAATTCATGCAGGAACTAAGGGACAAAAGCATGACAGAGGGACATTTGAGCTTAGCACTGAGTTAGTGTGTGCTCTGGCTGGGGACTGGGGGCTCAGGTGTTCAGTCTGGTCATTGTCTGCTTGTCATTGCTAGCATGGAGTAGGCAGGGATTAGTTATCAGAGTGAGGATTACAGAAACACGACAATTTATGGTTAAAGCCTTATAACAGACAAAGGAACTTGATTGGCAGACACAGCCAGAGGGAGCTATGCAATCTGGAAAGAAGCACAGGGGAAATTGCAGTGCTCTGGCAGTTGTGAGGCTTCACTGTACAAGGTTCAGGAGGAAGAAAAAGCATAAGTGCTGCTCAAGATAAAAGGCAAAGGGAATATCGCTAGTTGCTTCTATTGCAATTTATGATGTGTGCTTTATCATGTTTTCAAGAAACCGAAGAAGCTAAATTGAAGCCTGTTCATTAACACGATGGCATTAATTCCTGAAGGGACTAGAACACAGGTCCCCAACCCCAGGGTCACAGACCTGTACTCATCTGTGGCCTTTTAGGAACTGGGCCACAAAGCAGCCAAATGAAGCTTCATCTGTATGTGTATCCACTCCCCAATGCTAGCATCTCTGCCTCAGCTCCACCTCAGATCATCAGGCATTAGATTCCCATAGGAGCACCGGTCCCCTGGTGCCAAAAAGATTGGGGACTGCTGGACCAGAATACCAAATTTGGGTTGACATCCCCATTGCAGGTGTTGAGCAAATGTCTACATATTGATTCGAGTGAAAAGAACAGCAACTTTATTTTTAAAAGCATTCCTGAATCAACAGAGATGAAAGTCATTTGTTTGGATACTGGGTATTTTTTAATGTGTTCCTGTAAACTTGCTGATCTGCCTCTACTCCTTGCAAGTAATCTTCTTGAGTTTCATTGTGTGGAAAAAATAATATAACTGTTACACTGGGCTTAAAATCAGACCTGCTAATTTTAGTCACAGTCACACGGCGACTCCTTTTCCTGAAATTTGTTGCATAAGCTCCTGTTCACCTATTTTCATGGTTCAGGCAGGAGTTGTGGTAGAGGGACAATAGTATACATGCTGCTTGGTTCTCCATGTAGACGTTAGATTGGACTTTTATCTTTGTGTTGCTTCATTTCCTTAACGTGCATCTTTAGATGTGAACAGTAACGAAGGCAAGCTTAAAAAGAGAGGAGGAGGTGGTGGATTTGGCTACCAGAAAACCAAGAAGGTCGAGAAGTCCAAAATCTTCAAACACATTAGCAAGAAGTCATCTGACAGGAGGCAGTTCTCTCACTGAAGAAGACACACCTTCTTTTCACTTTGAAGAGCTCTGACCTGAAATGGATTTTTTTCCCTTGCTCTAACAAGGGAATTTTTGTAGCTTTAGGGTTTGGACTGATGTAACAAGCATAAATTGACTTGGGTTGCAAGCACTGACCACTGATATTTCCTGCAGGTCTCTTTTATTTTGGGGTTATAAACAGTTCATTTTTTCTTGATTCCTCAAGGACAAAGCAGAAGTATCTATCTTTTTGGTCTTGGTTATGATGATAGAATGTTTTAAGCTTATAAATTCCCCCTTATTTGTCATTATTTTAATATAATTCATTTTTTATCTTTTTTCCTGGTGTCTGAAGATTTTTGTGGCACAGATAGCTCTACGAACCTGCTGTGAAAGGCTGATGATCTGGTACACTGGACAGGTGGTGGTGGTGGTAAAGCAGGAAATTGTGTCCATTTATTTTGGGAGTTTGGTTGTTTCTTGGACCTTAGTGGTAGTTCTTGACCGCTCCTGAAAATGCTGCCATGTAAAGAGGAACAGGGCTTTTGGAAATATCTAAGAAGCATCTTTACTTAAAGGAGGCATCGATTTTTATATATGCCAGATTTTAAAACAGTGAGCTTTTCCCAATTTCATTATTTTAAGAACAGGAAACATGGGTGGTGGTTATTTGAATAAAGCGCCCCTAGTGGTTCTGACATTTGGAGTTGGAGGAGGTTTGAGATTTTTGAGCCTCATTTACACCAGTGTAGGTGCAATAGTCCATGTGGTAACTTAGCAAAGACTTTAAAAAATTTAGGCACAAAGAGTGGTGACTCTCATTCAAATTTTTTGTTTCACGTGGTTTGGATTTTAGCAAGCCCTTGTAACTGCAGAGTACTCTAGAAGGCAAAGCATCTTTTTGAGAAAAAAATTGCCCCTTTTAGATTTGTGAAACAGATTTACAGTGAGAATTGAAAATGAACAGAAGTCGGAAAGGGAAGCAAAGGCAGGAGTTTAGTCAGATGGAGTTTTTTGTTGTAGGATCTCTTGATTTCTACTTTGTTTTAAGTGTTTTATGTTTTTAGAGTGTTTCATAACTACAAAATGGTTAAATTTTGTAGCGATTTAAAACCAAAGTTGCTAGCATCGTATTGCTATTATGCCAGTTAATATTCATAGATTTCTGTTAAATGCAGGTACATGTAGAACCTCAAATGTAGAGGAGAGAGTCTAATAGATAGCATTCCAGAAGGTAGAGAAAAGAACAGTATTCTGCAGCGGGACTCAACCACTGTCACCCTAACTGGACCTATTCTGAGTTTCATACCTTAATTGCTGTACTCTTGACATTTAAGAACCGTTTCTCTATCCAGTGACATGTTTTTCTTTTTTGTTTGAGAAAAAAATCATGCTTCAAGAAATAGGCAAAAGCAAAGGGAAGAATAATCACTGAACAGAAATTCTCTGCATATTTTGGTATATAACCTTCCAGTGTTTTGTATACATACTTTTTAAATTTTTTTTTTATCAAAAATGAAATGCTCTACCCACCATTTGTGATCAGCTTGTTTATAACATGTTATTTTCCTGTGTCATTAAATAATTACATCAATTTCGTATTTGATTTAATATTCTTTGTTACTATTCTGCCTGGATTTGGGTTCTGGATACCTGCTTGTCTCAAACTGGCTTTCCTTGTCTCTGCATGTTTAAGAGAAGGTGGAAAGATTGTTCCTACTATAATAATGGCTTGTTTCAGGTACTTCCTGTATGAGATTCTGCTGGTAGAATGGGGCAAGCTGGGGTTATCCAGACAACCAGACTTGACCAACCTGGCCAGGATTCAGATGTGAGGGAGCCAGTCCTAGAATCGGATCCCAGGTCGGGGCAGCACTATCTGCAAGGCTCATTTTCATAAGAAGGAGGCACAGCTGCTGGTGGCATATATGGGGCCATTAACTTGACGATGAGATTCGGTAGCCTCTTTTTAGCCAGAAAGGTTAGGCAGCATGGGCAAGGAGCCAAGCAGATCACTATATGCAAATAGAAACCTTTGGGTCCTCTGGACTGCAAGTCATGACAAGTCATTGCTATGTCTAAATTTTATTTTGGTCTTAACTGGCCAGGTTAGTGTAAGTAAAGCTGAATTCATGGTCTTGTTTATTCGACAATATGTAGTGGTTAAACGATGCTCTGGAACCAGAATGCCTGGATTCAGATTCTAGCTGTGCCTCTTTTCTGAGCCTGCAAAGTAAAACATACTTTGTAAGGTGGTGAGAAATGTTAAGTGCTTAGGACAGTGCCTGGCACAAAGTACCTGTTAGCTGTCTTTGTTAGTATATACAGCACACATGAAAAGTTTTCCACCCAACAATATTAGGTACAGGGACTCATCAAAAATTCTGAGCCAGCTTGGGCCTTTGGAGTACAGACTAACAGTTACTGATAGTGTGGATCTTCTGCAATTTTGAAGATCAGGTTTTGGAAAGTTCTGTCCTGCAGCACCTTCCTAAGATAGCTGTCATGTAAACTAATGCAGTTTTCAAGGCTACTTCTATTTGTATGGTGAGTTAGGTGGAGTGAGATAACAATAGTGCGGTCATGAATTAAAAGCCTGCTAGGTGTCACCAACTGCACAGAGGCTGAGCCTGTGGCTGAGGTCTGAGGAGCCTGGTTACAGTCTAGAGAAGGTAGAGAGGTATCATAATTGTAATGTTTTCCAAATCATGGGATAGATGCAGATATAGAGAAATATTCCAGCTGTTTCTAAGCCTGGAAATTGCATCCTTGAATTCTGGTGGACTCTGGCTAATGAAAAGGTGATAGAACCTTCTCTACCTATAGTAGACAGTCTTCTGTCCTGGGAAGTGAGTTCCGAAATGCCCATGGTGCCACATAAACAGATGTTGAAAGATTTTCTTTCCCCATGCCCAGGAGATTCTAATTTATGCTTTTGGCAGAGCGGAGGAATCTGGATGATTCTCCTGCACAGCTAGCTTTGGAAACATTCAGTCTAGAATTGATACCCATACAGCCTCTCACTAAACTAATGCTCTCATCTTGCAGAGTGGAAATGGTGTTAGTATGTTTGGTCACCCACAAACTAGGGTGGCCCAGAGGACACAGACTCAGGCTTTCCAGAGGGAAATAGTTGTGCATTTGTTTGTCTTTGGCTTAAAAAAGCATAGTGTAGGACAGATCGTAGAGAAGTTGGTCTGGATCTGGAATTTGGAGACAGGAAGAAGTATGGCCTTCAACATTACTCAGTCTCCAGAGGAGGATCTGAGCCGGGAAAGGACTGACAGTCATTGGACCTTCCAGGCAGCGGTTTCCTCAGGCAGAACCTGTGTGAATCCTGGCTCGCCTGTGTACTGTCAGACTTTGAGTAGGTTACTTCCCTCTGTGCCCTTTCCTCATCTACAGAAAGAGGAAGTAATGGGATCCGCAGGATTAATGCTATACTGCGTGGGAAACATTTAGCACAGCTTTGGGAAGTCAGCTCCCAGACATGACAACTATTGATCTATTACCGAGAATGTCAGAAAAGCAGGGCAGACATTCAGAAACAAAGGAAGCAATGTTCTTGAAGGCATACCTGCTTTCTCACACTTTGAAACATCATGGTTTCAGATGCTTTTGGCCAAAAAATCTCTGGAGTACTCTCGCTTTCTGAGATTCCTGAATCTTCCAGCAGAGGGCCTTCAGCCAGGGCTGAAGAAGACACTGCTCCTATGGGCACTGCATTCCCAAGGGCACCTCTATATTAGACCCTGGGGAAAAGGTTGCGGGATTGATTGGTCTTCATTTTGTAGCAGAGGAGGGCTGAAGGCGGGTCCTTTCTCCAGCTGGAGGAAAGAGAAGGCCCCATCATTCTCAGAGCTTGGGAGGACACTGAGGAATGACCCCGGGGAGGCCAGGCTCCAAGCTAAATGCTCTCCATACTTGAACTTTAAGCCTCCCAACAGCCCTAGGGGAAATGGAGAGTATCCTGATGTCACAAATAGAAAAGGGAAGCTCTTTAGAGTGGCCATAAATAGCCTGGCCTAGAGACAAGTGCTGTTCTCTGCCCAGAACTAGGGCACGTTCCCACTTGCTGAGCAACTTCAGGGAGGCTGAGGCAGGCCTTCCTCCTTTCCCTGAGAGGGAATACTGCTGTCCTCAGATGCAGGCAGGAAGAACCAGTGAATGCCTGAGATCTGAACCTTAATACGATGCTGGCAGTTCTGGGCAAGGGCACAGAGGCTGGCAGCCTTGATGTTCCAGTAAAGACGGCTGCCAGGGTGGCTTCGATTGAGGAGAATAAAAAACTATGTGAGCAGTGCCCTCAACGTTGTTCAGATAACAAGTGTTTGAGCATCTACTGAGAGTAAGAACCTGGAGGTGCAGGGTAATTCCAATTCCATTCTAGAAACTTGCTATAAGAGGGATATGAGGTAAATATGAGGGACAATGTCCTAAAAGGAGAAAATAACCATCTCCAAGGGTTAAATGATTGCAAATAGCTTTGGGAAACTGTGACATCAGAGCTGAGCATTGCAGGATGCTTTTACTGGAGTAAAAGGGGTGAAGGAAGGAAAAAACAAGGTTTTCAAGCCACAGGCGCAGAATGAGCAAAGGCAAAGAGGAAGCAGCTTTGGGTCACTTGTAAAAAACAGTGCCATCAACCTCACTGGGCTGCTGCAAGGATTCTGTGGACCGATACATGCTAGCTGCTATTATCACAGCATGTCTACTTTGGGAGGTAGTAAAAGATGGGCTAAGAACCTAGATGGAACTCAGAGAACACTAGAAAGCCAAGCTACAAAGTTTGAACTTGAATTTGGTTTGCAACGGAGAAAAAGGAGATGCAATACCTGATTGTGTATTAAGATTCATTCTGGCTAATGTTTAGGGTGGAACGGATCAAGGTGGAACTGGAAGTAGGTAAAACAAGGAATCAAAGAGAGAAAGAAGGAGCAGATGTGAGGGACATTGTGACACTACAGTCCTCTAGGCATGACCACTGATTGACAGTGAGGTGAAGCTGGGGTGGTTCAAAGAAGACGAGAGTATGATGACCGCCAAGATGGGGTGGTGGAGAGAAAGGTGGTCCCATTAGCAAATACAAAAAACCAATGTGTAGCCTTGAGCATGGTACTTTAACTCACTAGCTGGTAGGAAATTGAACTGGAATATGATACTTTTCTGTTTGACCTCTTCCCCACTCTAAATAATACTTGTGTTTGTCTCATAAGAGCATCCCTGGGTATTGCTGACTTTAAGGTGTAAATAAGGCAGCATTCTCGTGCTCCCAGCATGAGAGTCTGGAAGGTTTTTAGCTCCACAGGACCTATGTGAAAAACCAGGTTCTGGTTAGGACGGGCATACATACCTATGATACGTTGGGGTCTGTGGCAGGCAGAATAACGGTCCTCAAATGATGTTCACATCCTAATCCCCAGAAACTGAATATATTACCTTAGATGACAAAGGGGACTTTGTGGATGTGATTAAGTTAATGATCTTGAGATAGGAGGTTATCCTGGATTATTCAGATCAGCCCAATGTGATCTACCACAAGGGTCCTTATAAGAGGGAAGCAAAAGGGTCAGGATCAGAGAAGGTGATTCAATAACAGAAACAGATCAGAGAGTCAAAAAGAGTTTTGAAGATACTACCCAGCTGGCTTTGAAGGAGCTGGAGAAAGGAGCCATGAGCCAAAGGATGTAGGCAGATTCTAGAAGCTGGAAAAAGCTAAGAAACACCTTGCTTTTAGTTCAACAAGCCCCAGTTTGGACTCCTGATTACTATAAGATAATAAATTTGTGTTGATATACACCACTAAGTTGGTGGTAATTTGTTAGCACCACTATGAAACTAATACTATTTCTAATTGAAGGACTTCTGGTACATGTGCATGTTTTTCAGGATTCTTGGCAACCATTTGGAAGGAATAGGCTATGAAAAGCTGGATTTCCGCATTCAGCCTTGGGACAGTGTTTCACAGCTATGGAAACTGAGGTTTAAATATTGATGAAATGCTACAAGAAACTTTAAAACAAACCGTATTTTGACCCCAAATTATACATCTGATAATTTCATTACAGACTATTCTACAAACCCCAATGTGACAAGGAATTAAATTTACCACCATTCCCTGCTTTAGAGAATTGTCCTCCGATAATTCCAGTTGGATTAAACCCTTTCTCACCTGTAATGGATAGAGAGCAGCAATGTACCTACATGAGTTTATTCCTCTCATTCTTTCAAATGTCTTTGGGAAATAAATGGTGATTGAATGTCTGGAGTGCTCAGTGTTTCAGTCCACCTTTTTCTCTAGCTCTAAGTAACTGCTTTACATGCCAGAATAGGTTACCATAGCAATGATTACTGAGCAATAGGTGAATTGAATTGCACTGTATAAGAAGCCTAGAAGAAAATAATAATAACCTGAGAAAGTCCAATCACTCTGTAGAGCCACAAGGCTGTTAAAACAGGGATAGCTGGATTAATTCCCTTCATGATGAGAAAGTGTTGCTGCCAGCTGATACATAATACAGTGCAGGAAGCTACAGATCACCCCAAGTCCTCCCTACCTCCTCATCTCCAAGTCATCCATCCAAGAAGCTCAAATGACAAA